TTGCAAGAATGGAGCGATAAAACTGTATTCAAGTTCTCCCCCTCATGCACTTTTGTAGAATATATCACCTCCCTAAACCATCCTAAGCTTTTTTTTAGGAGAGGGGTCATCAACTTCCCTTCGTCGAATCTACCACTTTCCTAGACCTGACTTTCGACAAGAGTTTAACATGGCGAAAGCGCATTCAAAACTTGAAGGTATCTCCATTGAACCTCCTTTGCACCCTTACTGGTAGACCATGGGGCGCAGTCAGAGTATATCTTTTGCGACTTATAGGACAATCATCAGTCCTATCTTAAGTTATGGGTGTATTGTGTATGGGTCAGTCTCCATCGACCCTCCGTTCATTGAATACCATGCAGAATGCCGGTATACGGATCAGCACAGGCGCCTGCCGCACGAGTCTGTGTGTCTGTCTCCCCCTCTCTGCGTGTCTGTCCTCCCTCTCTGCGTGTCTGTTCCCCTTTGGTGTCTGTTCTCCCCTCTCTGCGTGTCCTGTCTCCCTCTCTGCGTGTCTGTCTCCCCTCTCTGCGTGTCGTCTCCCCTCTTTGGCGTGTCTGTCTTCCCCACTCTCTTGCGTGTCTGTTCCCCTCATCTGCAGTGTCTGTCTCCCCATCTCGTGTCTGTTCCTTCGACTGTGCTCCCCTCTCGTGCTGTCCGTCTGTCTCCCCCTTCTCTGCTGCGTTTCTGTCTTTCTCCCCCTCTCTCTGCGTTTCCCTTGTCTGTCTCCCCTCTCTGCGTGTCTGTCTCCCCCTCTCCTAGCGTGTGTGTCTCCCCCTCTCTGCCGTGTTCTGTCTCCCCCTCTCTGCGTGTCTGTCTCCCCTCTTACTGCGTGTCTGTGGTCCCCCCTTTGAGTGTCTGTCCTCCCCCTCTCTGCGTGTCTTCCCTCTGACTACTCTCCCCTCTCTGCGTGTCTGTCTCCCCCTCTCTGCTGTCTGTCTCCCCTCTCTGCGTGTCTGTTCACCCCTCTTGCGTGTCTGTCCCTCCCCTCTCTTGCTGTGTCTCCCTGGTGTCTGTCTCCCCCTCTGCTTCTGTCTTCTTCTGTGTTTCTGTCTCCCCCTCTGTCCTGCGCTGTCTGTCTCCCCTCTCTGCGTTGTCTTGTCTCCCCCCTCTGCGTGTCTGTCTCCCCCTCTCTGCGTGTCTGTCTCCCTCCTCTCTCGACTGCGTTGCTCTGTTCTCCCCTCTCATGACAGATGTCCTGTCTCCCCTCTCTGCGTGTCTGTCTCCCCCTCCTATGCGTGTTCTGTTTTACCCCCTCTCTGACGGTGTCATGTTCTCCCCCTCTCTGCGTGTCTGTCTCCCCCTTCTGCGTGTCTGTCTCCCCCTCTCTGCGTGGTCTGTCTCCCCCCTCTCTGCCGTGTCTGTCTCCCCCCTCTCTGGCGATGTCTGTCTCCCCCCTCTTGCGTGGTCTGTCTCCCCCTCCTCCTGCGTTGTCCTGTCTTCCCCCCTTCTCTGCGTTCCTCCGCTCTGTCTCCCCTCCTGCGTGTCTGTCTCCCCCTCTCGGCGTGATCTTGTCTCCCCCTTTTTCTCGCTGGTCTGTCTGTCTCCCCCCTCTCTGCGTGTCTGTCTCCCCTCTCTTGCGTGTCTGTCTTCCCCCTCTCTGCGTGTCTGTCTCCCCCCTCTCTGCGTGTCTGTCTCCCTCTCTTCGTTTGTCTCTTGCGTTGTCTGTCTCCCTCTCTGCGTGTCTTGTCTCCCCTCTCTGCGTGTCTGTTCTCCCCTTCTTCTGCGTTCTGTCTCCCCTCTCTGTGTTCCTGTCTCCCCTCTCTGGCGTGTCTGTCTCCCCCTCTCTGCGTGTCTCTGTCTCCCCCATACTCTCTGCGGTCGTCTCTCCATGCGGTGTCTCTCCCCCTCTACTGCGTGTCTGTCTCCCCCCTCTCTGCGTGGTTGTCTCCCCCTCTCATGCGTTGTCTGTCTCCCCCTCTCTGCGTGCTGTCTCCCCCAGGTTCTCTCCCCTCTCTGCGTGTTGTCTCCCCCTCTCTGCGGTGTCTGTCTCCCCTCTCTGCGTGTCTGTTCCCCCATCTCTGCGTTGTCTGTCTCCCCCTCTCTGTGCGTGTCTGTTCTCCCCCTCTCTGCGTGTCTGTCTCCCCCCTCTCTGCGTGTCTGTCTCCCCCCTCTCTGCGTGTCTGGTCTCCCCCCTCTCTCTGCGTGTCTGTCTCCCCCTCTCTGCGTGTCTGTTCCCCTCTCTCTGCGTGTCTGTCTCCCTCCTCTCTGCGTGTCTGTTCTCCCTCATCTATGCGTGTCTGTCTCCCCTCTCTGCGTGCTGTCTCCCCTCTCCTGCGTGTCTGTCTCCCTCCTCTCTGCGTGTCTGTCTCCCCCTCTCCCTCCTCTCTGCGTGTCTGTCTGTCTTTAAATTTCCTCCTCATGGGTAGTTCAAGTGATGCTTAAAAAAGGGGTCAGGTCCCATTTTGGGGGATTTCTCTGCTTTTTCTAAAACTGCAAACAAAAAATTAATATTGCAAAACTACAGTATTGATGATAAATATTTTTGTTCTTAATGAATATTTTTAAAACCTAATCTTAAAGAAATGGAAATGAAAATCTGAATTTTGAGAATTGCAAATGTGTTTATTGTGAAAATTGAGAAAAAATAATAATTGAAGTAGAAATTTGTTCGAGATGTAGGTGTGAGACTGTTAGTTTGGAACTAACAAGAATGATTCAAAGAACATTAGTTAGAATTTCTGAGCAGAAAAAAAAAGTTGGAAACTCTTTCTAGGTTCATGTTGTACTAATATTGGTTAGCCATTACAAATTACACAAGACTGTGTGTGTTGCACCCCAGCTTAAATATGAACAGGATTTTAAGATTAAGAAATGAGGGGGATATGTCCACTTTTTAGAATATTTTAGTATGCATTATAAAACTGTGCTAGTTTTATTTCTGTGGGGAATCATTTTTATTTATTTCAGTTTGTTAAGAGTATTGCAAAGCTTGTTTCTGTTTTCATAAGGCATAAAAATAACGTTTTCCACTGAAAACGAACTTGGTCCCTACAATTCTTTCACCCTTCATATGAGCATATGCAGTTTAAGATCAATTTTCAATTTTTTCTCACAGGATATGGAAACAGTGTACACAACATGGATCCTCTTATGTTTGCACCACCCACTGGCGCATGGTATGGTGTCTCTTCAACTAACTACTCACCAACACCTGGTGGTTTCTTTGGCTGGGTTCCACAGACTCCTTCATACCAAACAATTTCGTGTAAGTAATAGGTGTAACTGAAATGTATATTTTCTTGTGAAATACATAAGTTTTCTTTCTCCTCAATCCCCCTCCCCCTTCCCAACACATTAAAAATCATAAATTGACATACTTTTCAAATTAGTTTCCCAATGTGTTTTCCTTGCAACACTATAGATCAATCAGAGTACTAAAAATTAATGAAGATGTTTTAGTGGGATAATTAACTTTGTTAATTTTAATAATAAAATAGTGACAAAAGCTAAATGATTGTTGTATGTATTATTTCAGTGATAGGCTTGTAAAATCTAGAAATTTCATTTACTCACATTAAAATCGACATTAAACTTGCATTTCAATTACTATTAATTTTCTTTTCATTTTAATTATACTTTGATTCCTTGTGCCTCTTTTCAATGTTTTAAAATATATTTTCACTGTTTCAGCAAATTCTGCTTTTATGACAAGGATGCCTCCACCGTATCCAGACAATAATATTTACAAAAATTACCCTCCTCCTCCATACAGTGATTCACACTTAATGTAATTGGTTCCCTCTCATGAAGGTAAGTTTACAGACATGTTAAAAAACACAACTATTAAAGAATTTTAAAAAACAACCTTTGAGCTTTCATCAATACTAATTTTGTTAAAAACATTGTGATTTTTCCAAAACATGACTACTGAACTTCTCTTTAATATTTGTTTTATTGGATTCTACTAAAGTGAAGGAAGAGGTCTGATCCTGACATTAGTAAGAGTATTTGAGATTTTTAGATCTCCTGTAGATGCCTAAAAACTTTTAAAAACTGAAAGCGTTACAAATTCTAGCCACTCTAAAAGATTTTCCAATGTTTTAGAGTTCCGTACTAAATTTTAAATATTTAAGAGTAATTGCCAAATTATGATTCTCATAATTTCATTCATGTCTGCATTATCTTTGCATGTCTTGAATGCTGTGATTTTTGCACCTCACCAAGTTATACATTGATTTGATTCTGCCATTTCTATATTGTTCTCCCATTTATCTCAATGAAACCTCTTTTTCTTCTCGATATCCCTTATTGATGCTCGAATGATAAATGAACAGTTTTCTAAGAAGCACTGCTGATTAGACAATTTCAAGGCTGTTGGAAAGTTTCAGGGAAGACGTCTCCAAAGATTTAATTGTAGTGCTTTCTGAAAATCAGGCCACTATAATTTCTCCGTTTATCAGTATCATGCAATTGCTTTGATACCCCCCCCCAGATAACTGATGCACCATGGAAGCTATTGTTTCCAAACACAAATCAATTCAAAAGTGAGATTTCTGAGGTTCAGGGTTTTGGGGAGAATGAGAATCAGTCAATAAGAACTGTTTTGGGGTTTGGATATTCTTCTTCTTCTTCTTCTTCTTCTTCTTCTTCTTCTTCTTCTTCTTCTTCTTCTTCAGAATTTATGTTCGATGCCATGATGTGGATACATGTTGCAAGGTTTGAAATCGCTGAGCATGAAGAACTCGATACTTTTTTTTGTAGAAAAGGGTTTGAATTCTTCTGTGAAGTGTTCATCTTACACTCATATCAGAGGGGTTTTGTGCTTAGGCACTTTTAAATAAAATGTAGAATGTTTTAAAAATATAAAATGAATCCACAATGTCACTGTTAAATGTTTCTCATGGATTATGGAATAAATACACCGCTGATTCAAATTTAATTATCGACTCTTTATTTCATATAAATTCTACTTAAGATGTTCTTACTGGAAACATTATTGCTAGTTTTTACTTTCCTGTGTCAAATTCTCACTCTGCGTTAACAGTGCCCCGTAAGGTTTAATCTAAATCTTCAGTGCCACATCATGATTTCACTCCTGATTTACGGACCAAAGAGATAATTTACAAGTAGCGGAGGTTCACGTGTGATAATCTGGGAAAGAAAAATGTTAATGGTGCCTCCTGAGGTTGTGCATTTAGTTTCTAGTGAATGGTATCAAGGTCAAGGGAGACTGCTAAAAGGAGGGGAATATTGACTGCTCAGTGTTTCATTTTCACAAACCAAACTTCCTTGCTATGATTTGCATTTTTGTTGATTGCATTGAAGCTTGATTTGCATTTGAAATACCATCTGGGTTTATGGACAGACGTATTTCAACACAATACAATAGTTGCATTTTAGAGAGGAGGCTACAGCAAAAAATTTTTACAATACTGAATTGTTTGTCTGCTTCTTTATTAAAAATATACAGGAAAAATAAAAAAATTATTTTTTTAAAAAATTGCAAGTAAATAGAAAAGTTCAGTCATATGTAAAAGGTTATTATAAGGCGTAAAATATGTAAATATCTGTACGTTCGAGTAAAATATGTAAAAATATGTTCTACAAAGTCAATCATTTTTCATCATTAACCAATAAAAAACATGAATACATTGTTGATTCGACTAGACAGTTTCGTTAGGATAATATGTTATTACATTATTATCCGTGCCCTAATCACAATTTTGGTCGTCATGTATTTCGATTAACCTTTGGCAAACTTTGCATAAAATAAACCACAATAGTTAGATAGCTTCAATACAACTCTCCCATCCAGTAGTAAAAATTGATCATATTTTTTGTTGGAACATTCGACCTTTTGGTTGATGATGAAAAAAATATAAAATTGTTTTCGAATTAAATTTTGCTGCACCATTAATTAGTAAATTGAGAATATGAATTCAACAAGGAACAAGGACACTGCTATTTGCCTCTCATATTTGCCATGATATCATACTCTTGACCACGTATGTTTATAATATTTAAATTAAGATCAGTTAAATGATCAATCCTGAAATTTGTTAGTCCAGCACCTGTTGAATCGACAATTTTACAGAAATGTAAAACTGTGTTCTTTAATTTCAACTTTCTGTGCTTATTTATTGTATAAATATAATATTTTCTAAATCTATTCTCATTTTTTGCCACCCTGGTTCAATGCACCTCTTGAACCTGGGTCATGATTGTGCTGTCTAAGTATACATCAATATGTAAATGAATATAATCTTGTGCAGAAACTGAGCAACACAGGACAAATTACTATTTTGTAATGAGGCCAAATATAATAAAATAAATACTAGTGTGCCATCAGCACTGTTTACACTTAAAACTGGCAAAACTCTAAGTAGCTTTCTCTAAAGTGCGCTCTGTTATGAATTAGAGTCCAGATTTTTATCTAATTAGATACATATTTTTTCTCTTTTGTATATTCAGCTCTTAGAATTGTTATCTTGATGAATCATAACAATCTTAACACAATATCAAAATTTTTTCGTTACACATTTTGTAATATAATACATATTTTGCAAAACTTTGTAGTATTCAATCAGTTTTCTTTGAACTTAGTTCAAAAAAACTATTTAATGAATTTTTTTGATCAGCATACTTTTTTCTTGGACAAAATGAGAAATGTGTGCTGAAGGCGAAAGGTACCTCGTGTGAAGATGCGGTCAGTTGAACACCTTCTACCGGGGTTATCTTCCATTGGGCATTGCATACCGGGCATTGCTTGTAGTGCTCGGTAGCACTGAGAACATTGCCTTTAACTGTGGAAAGTATCAGGAATGTTGTTCTTAAGCTTTGTTCCAAATTTCTGGGAAATATTTATTGTAGCAGATGTATGAAGATAACATTACAATGATTGTTTGCTGGTCATTGAGTCGCCATGTATTACAATGACTGTCTTTGCTCTAAAAAATTAAAGTCCTCTTAAAAACATTAATCCAGTAGACAAAGTGATATTTATTTTTAAATTTGGTTTAATAAATGATTTCTTAATGTAAATTCAAGTTGTGTAAATTATTTTTTTTTGTAAAAAAAAAAAAAAAAATAAAAAATAAATTATTTCAACGAGCTAGAATATACTAGTATATTCTAACTCTTGTGTTCTTTTGACATTCAAAATTGATGTAGCAGGACTAAAAACTTTACAGTACATGCACCATGAACTCATTAAATACAGGTTTTATATAAATTTGAATTTTGTATTGTTGCAGAACAAACCATGGATATTCAAATCCACAACAAGGAAGACAGAAGATAAAAAATGCCTTAGAACCATTCATCCTAAAGACATTGCCACACTGTTTCATTTTCCTTAAATTTTTTGTAATTACTACTCTTTTGTATTTCCAAGTAATTCTTTTAAGCACTGTCTTGTGTAATTATTTTGATTCACTAATTGTCACAATCACCTCATGGTTTATACTTTGTAAGAATTAAGTTACATTGACAACCCACAACACTTTGCTATAATAAAATGTTATTTACCCTTTTTTTTCTGTTATGGCAAAAATCTGATGAATAAGATTAGGCCCAAGGAATCCAATTTGCATGGTAGAGCACCCCTTCTTTTAAAAGAAGTCTGAATGCTCTAGATTTAAGAGACTTTCAGCACTGCTTGAAGAGATACGCACAGTTGAGAACTAATTCAATTTATGGACCAATACACTCAATAATAATAATAATAATAAAGGAGCTGTGAAGTTTCCTTTCAATGGGGAAGCAATGTCTTTCTTATTTTGAATGATTTCTTGCTTTTCTCTTTTTACACTTTTGCATACTGCTTCCACATTGTTTCATGTGGTTTAATATTCCTAGTTTTCAAAGTGGAACATCAATTAATATCAAGGAGTATTGGTGGAATGCTGATGAAGTTCTGTTGACATTATTAAAGGATAAAATAATTGAAGTAATCTTTGTCCACTTAGATGTATTCAGAGAGCCAGATTTCAATGGCTGTGCAGTCATCAGTTGTGTCATATATAGTGAAAGTTGGGAGACTGCCTCCCAACTTTCAGAGCAGAGACCCCTCAGGGCACTGTCTCCCAACTTTTGCCATATACAGCAATACTAATGATGACAGGAAAGCCATCTCTATGAATAAATTTAAGTTGACAAAGATTTCTTCAATTATTTCATCCATCAAGAAGAATTTTCATGTATTCTTCTACAGAGAAAAAAAATTTAAAAAATATTTATTTGCAAAAGAACATGGGACCTAAATGGAAACAACCTGTCATTAATTTCCTCTTGGGTGACAGGCATTTTTTTAAGGAAACCTTAAATGAAAGTGATGAGAGAGTAACATTGAATTCACTTCCATTTTCCTGAAACTTGAAGGCAATTACACTGTTTTACTTGAATTGAAAGAGAGAACTTTTTTTTAAAAGAGATTGGTAGAATAAATGCGATTAACAATGAGAAAATTAAAAAAGCACAAAAACAGTTGTTAAGATTTTGTCGGTGGGTCTGGAGTGTTGCTAGAGACACGCATCATATCATAACAGATAACTTTATTATCCTCTGCTTTACAGGAACATAATACTGCTTTACACTTCTAATTCAAGATGGCATGCACTGCACACGCACAACACAACGCATACAATTAGCATGCTTGCCAAAGCATACGAAGCCACAGGAGTGGCAGATACTGCCAACCTATGAGACAGAAGTTCTTTTTATTTCTAACACTTCCCCTTAAATAGAACATTGTTATACATATACACACTGCAGTTTATGAGGGCCAACTACTTAAAACATAGATCTGATATTTAACGTTTCCAAGCACTTCAAGTGTTTCGGTTTTGGCAGAGCCTTGGTGAGAACATCTGCCGGCATGTCACCAGAGGATAAGTGCTCCACTTCTATTTCCCCAGACTCCAAAAGTTCACATACAAAATGATGGTTAATGTCTGTGTTTGGTACGTCCATGGAACCCTGGATTGGTGGCTAATTTCTGAGCTCCCATGTTGTCGTAGATTCTTATGGCCGTCGATCCTCTCACGTCCATCTCTTCCAAGAATCGTTGAAGATAGACTGCCTCCTTAGCGGCTTCTTCCAGAGCCATGTACTCTGACTCGGTCGAGGAGAGTGCAAGTCTTTTGTTTTCTGGACTCCCAAGGCAAGGCACGGCACCTCCGTTCCAGGTAAATATGTAGCCGGTGAATGAACGCCTAACATCGAGATTTTCCCCCAAATCTGCATCTGCTTATCCAGTGAAGTCAGCTTGTTCGGTCACCGTCGGACGTCTTCTATTTTTCAGTCTTGGCTAGCTTGTTGCCTACATCCAGTGGCATAGCTACAGGGTTGCAGTCTAGCATGCCAAAACGTCGAAGCATACCCTTAATGCACGTAGTCTGAGTGATAGAGATTTCATCCTTGTCTCTAATGAAGTCCATGCCGTATGTAGTTCGCCATATAAACAGCCTCTGCCCGAAACGATGGAGGCAACTAGGACTGTGCAAGTAGATAACGGGCCGTTTCTACCATGGACCGATTCTTGCGCTCTGCAACTCCATTTTGCTTTGGGTAGTGAGGTGCAGTAAGTCTTCTTTGGATTCCCGAACGTCTGATGGTTTCGTCGAATTTCCGGTTAACGTACTCCGTTCCATTATCTGTTTGAAGACATTTGACCTTCATCCCCTTTTGGATCTCTAGGCGAATTCTAAAAGCTTCGAATTCATCAAAGACATCGCCCTTTTGCTTCAGGAATTTCACCGCAGTCCACCTCGATGAACGTCGAAAAGTACTGAGCCTTTCCACGTGATGTCGTCCGTACAGGGCCGCACACGTCGGAGTGAATTGTCACCAATGCAAGATTCTCTCTCCGATTTCTTTGGGAAAGGTGGACAAGTCATCTTGGCTGAAGACAGACCTAGCATACGAAGTCGCCCCCAACACCATCGAGCTTCAACCCCTTGATAGTTGAAATAATTATGAGTCGTCATTGCCAACAATATTATTTATTACAATAGCAGCTTTCGATGGCTTAGCCATCATCAGTTTTCTAATACAAGGACAAAAAAATTAAAACGTGAATATTTTTTTTTGATTTGACAACAAAATTATAATAAAGGTTACTAATAATTTACAATTTTTAGAAAATATATTTAACATTCTAAGAACTGAAAGAAAGAAAAGGGGGGTTAAGTTATTAAATACTAAAGGAGAGTGATTGAAATTGAATTAGAACACTTAAAATTTGAAACAGAAAACATGGAAATGTAAGTTGAGCCATTCCTTACCTGCTGTATGGAAGTCACAAAAAGGACTACGCTGGCTCGGGCGAGGGGAGAAGGGGCCTAAGTATCCGGCCGTGGGGAGGACGACGGCCTTGGCCTGGGTGCGGTGCGCGTCTCCTGTGCCGCCCCGGGGGAGCGTGGTGTGGGAGTGGTGTCTAATAATAATTTTAGTAGAGGAGAGGGGCTATGGTTTATGTTTTCATTCAGTAAGTTATTATTTAAATGGATATGCGGGTTTTCTAAAGTTAATCTGGTGTGGTATTGATTTTCTATCTCTAGTATACGAATATCTGTGTGTGGATTGAATGTATGGCCTGTCTGGAGTAAATAATCGGCAAAAAAGAGATTTACAGGTGTTGTGTTTCCAAACGCGTATATGTTCCTTAATTCTGGTATTAAAAGTTCTGCCTGCTTGACCAATATATTTGGCTTCGCAGTAATGGCAATTTAGTGAATAGACGCCGCTTTTTTTTTTCTCCCTAAAAGATGTGTGTTGTTTGGGGGACAGCATTTTGATAGTTCCCTTCCTAGCTGCTTCGCGTAGATCCTGGATATTCAAGTGACCAAGAATGCGGTGCCATTCTATCAAGGTCTTCTTCGTCTTCTCAGAAGCCTTCATCGCGTCGTTGCTGGCAACACTTCTGCAGTCCTTGCCTTGAGATTGAATATAATACAGCCCGTCGACTCTCTTCGCCCTGACAGCTACATTTCCCTTTGGGTCCTGTCCCAAACACGCCTCGTACGGATTGTTTGTAGGCGAAGCGAGAAGACTTATGTCCGCATTTCTTGCGTTCGGTTTTTCGCTTTTGCAATCCGCCGCCTTATGACCAACTTTATGGCACCTGTGACATTTAAATTTAAAGGGCTCTTTCTTGGACCTTTCACCCTTCTCGTTGCCATTTTTTTCTTGAAGTTGTTCTTCTTGTAGTGGTGTCCTGCCATCGCATTCTCCTCTGTGCCGTGGTTGTCGGCACATTTCCTCGCGTCCTTTTCTTCCACGATTTTGATGTGCAACGTCTCCGGGAGCGGTAAATCGTCGCGGTATTCTATTGCACGTCGGACATTCTCGAAGCTGAGCGGCAAAATATACAGCAGCATGATGGCAAGTACGTCATTGTTGATTTCTATGTCCACGTCGCGTAGCTTGTCCACAGCGTCGAAAACCTCGAGCGACGATCACGCACACTCTCTCCTTCCGTCATCTTCTGCAACGTGAGCTGCTTTAGCAGGGTTGGTTTTGTGCGCGGGCCATTAGATTGGTGAACTCTTTCACAGACGATAATTTATATACTTTTTAATTGATTATATCACAGATTCCACATTTGATTTAATCAAGAATTTGAGGGTTAACTTCCAGAAGAAACTGAACAAGGGTTAAGGGGTTTTAAAATTTAATTCATACTCGTAAGACACTATTCCACAATTTTTATATAAAACCACAGATGATAAAAGGTTCCATTAATTCAGAAATTAAACCACAAAACAACCTCCAAGTTTCATCCATGGAAATTATTTAATTGAAAATATGATATGGATCACCAGAATTGGAAAGTTCTTAATACAGTTACCAAAAATTATGTAAATATAATATTAAACTAAAATTTCTAATGTTCCTTTACTACTTATCGGATGTTGTTATTTAAGTAACAATTTTATTGTAAATTCACCCTTAAGTTGCATTTTATGTACTATTATTGTTCATAAAAATGGATGTTTTTGTTCTACGTCAATAATTTTTTTATTGGCCTAGGCCTAGCACCAACTTAAGCAAATCGCAAAGAAACAACAATGACTTGCTTTACCACAACATTCAGGCATTTAACTTTTTGTCAAAAGCTAAATCATTTTAGTTCAAGTTTATTTTGAAATAATGAAGTTAAATCCACATTTTTTTATTACATTAATTTAAAGTTTTTTTAAAATATTTCTGCTCGTTGATGACAAATCGCCGTACTGTAACCTTATTGTATTAATATGAAATTGCTTGACTGGTGGCTCAAGTTACAAATATTAGCACATTAGGGCCAAGCATAATTTTTACATCTCTATGATAACATTTGTGCAATTATTTGAATATTTTTATTAATATACTTAATAAATGGAGATGAGAGTTCAAAAAAAGTGGTGTTATGCATCTTGGCTGAGAAGTAAGTTTTTCATATTTTTTACCATGCTTGTCTTGTTTTGCTTTACTAAAAAACTTTTACTTCTTAGCCTTGATGTGTAAATAACCGTTTTAATGTAATTCAGTGGAATTTTGTATACAAGAGTTAAGTTTTTGACTTATTTTGTCTTCACTTTCTATCATCAGTGTTTTAGTGAACAATGTAAATATTTATGTAAAAACAATAAAAAATCTTGTTGACAAGGGTCTTTTTCCCACATATTTATTAATTGATCTTTATAATATGAATATTAGTATTATTTATTATTTTTTTAAATTGACTTAAGATTTCATGTTGTTGCATATTCTTTTTACATCTAACGTATATAACTATTTCTCTTGCTTATATTTTTGATTTAACAAACATTTTAACAGCTCCATGTATGTAACTTAATCATCACTTTTGTCAGACTTCAAATATCTTGGGGAAAAGAAGCACCAGGAGCCCAGTCAAAAGATGGCATCATTGGAGCGGCAACATGCCTTTAGATCTAAAACATGTAGTGGTAGATAAAGAAGAATGCTCAAAAGTTTCCATGAGATAAATCTATAAAACTAAT